ACACCACAGCTTCTGTCTTGCTCTGTCTTGATTCTCTTGCTATGGGGGAAGCCAGCTGCCATATCCACAGGACACTCAAGCAGCCCTCTGGAGAGTTCCTTGTGGGAAGGAAGTAAGAGAGGCCTGCTGCCGAAAGCCAGCACTAACTTGCTAGGTATGTGAGTGAGCCGTGTTGGAAGAAGATCCTCAAACCCCTGTCAAGTTCAGTTGACTGCAGCCCCTGCCAGCATCTTGACTGCAGCCTCAGAAGGACAAAGCTAAGCTACTCCCAATTCCTGAGCCACAGAAACTATGTGAGAGAATATATATTGTTGTAAGCTGCTAAGTGTTTTGGCTAATTTACTACTCAGCAACTGACAAGTAATATAGAAAGCATATCTCTTTTTAACAAATGAAAAAACCTGAACGTGATGCCTACAGTCATTTGACCAGCAGGGGGAGAAGTCCAGGTGCAAACCCAGGTCTGTCTGAGCAAAGCTCAACTCCTCTCCCTGTCAATGGTGACGTTTCAGCTTGAGTGGCAGTCTCAGGAAAGGACTAGGGCTAGATATTCTTAATTGCTTGCAGGGATGATGGAAATTGCAAAGGGAAAAGAATGGGCAGGATGAGGAGGGCAGAAGGTAAAGAACACCACTAATGTTGAGTTGACTTTGCTTTTGGCACCAAGTAGAAGCCCTTTTTGGTAGGGTCACGTGTTCCTCCTCCAAAGAACTGGCACAGTATGGAGACAACAGAAACAACCTAAGGTCACAGGAATTTACTAGGAATCCTGGAGCGGGGTGGTGAGGGAGTTAAGGGAATCAACATCTATCAAGCACCTACTATTTGCCAGCAGCCTTACATTTTATTCAGTCTAGTTACAGATTATTATTCCTCTTTATGAGGAAACTGTGCTCACACATCCATTAATGTGCTCCCTACATTTGCTCTCATGTCTTCGGATTCCAAATCCTTGGCTCTTCCCACCATTCTAGTCTACCTCTTGGGCAGGATGAGGAACCACACGAGGTTTTATGCGAAAGAAATACTGGTTTTTCAATTGCTGGCTGTACGTTACACACAATCCGACCACATACTGAACTGCAAATAAACAGAAATGCAAATAAATCTTATTCATGCTAGTCTCCTGTCATCACATATCATTAGCTGTAGTTTTTGACACTGGAAGAAACTACACAGTTTACTTCACTTCATCACTGAGCCTCACAACTGACTGCAGCACTAGAAGAGCACTGAACAACGTGTACTTACCACGGTGACTGGCACTCTCTGGTCAGGAGCTATGGTAGAATCTGGTTTATACTGCTGTATTAAGCCTGTCCCCAGTTCTTCCAGAAGCTGCCAAGGCAAAAGAAATATAGATTATCAAAGCAGATTTTATAATCCGAATTACGGAGGCAGAAAACCTCACTTGTTTGGAGACGACCTCAAATCAAAGGGAAAAATAGTTTCCAACTGAATTTTCTTTCTTCTTTCAGTAACTCTGACATCAGAGGCATTCTTTCAGGAGCAAAACCACCAGAAACATATTGTTTATTTATTACCAAATGAATTCTTTGGGTTTCTCTGGCGAGCTGAAAATGAAGGAATGTATGACTTTCCCTACCTGATACCCCTTTAAGAAACCTCAGAACTGACATAGAACAGAGGGAAGAACATAAAGGAAGAGAAGAAAATAGCAGGTGGCTTTTCATCAAAGTTACCTTTGCTCCATGAAGCTGAATAGACGGATCTGCTTCCCCCATGCACTTGCAAATCACCTCTCCAAGCTCCATTAAGTACACTTGAGCCATTGAAAAGTAGCCCTTGGCCAGATGAGCTAACACCTGCAAAGAGAACAGAGGAATAACCTCAAGACCTAAATGCAGGGCTGCAATATCCAGAAAAGTGTTTTAATATTTCAGAAATCACTCACATTTAACAAGGGGTAGGCAGGAATCTGATGTTGAATAAAATGAACAACCATAATCTTTATTTTATGACTGAAATCAGTTAACTCTATCATGTAACTTCACGGTGCTTTATAATTTTTGAAATGTGTTTCATTAAGGTTGTCAATACTATTCAAGCCTGGGAACAATTTTCTGAGGCAGGTACTAACTGAATATTTCAGCTAAAGAAGCTAAGGCTAAAAAAGTTAAAGGTTAAAGGACATGTTTAATATCAACCGCACAATCAGCAGCAGAGCCCAGGACCAAACCCATGCCTCAGATCACAGCTGAGTACCAAAGAAGCAAATAAATTAATCTGGGGTTGTTTTCTTCCTGTTGTCTCTACGCAGACAGAAGATGGAAGAGAAGTTATGGAGAATTAAATATTTAAAGTCTCAGAAATCAAAGCTTAACTGTACAACGTCTTTCAGAATTACTATATAATCTAGCATACCCAACCTGTCACATAAAAACTATGGTCACTAAAGTGACTTGCAACAAAGAGGAATAAATGTGACATTTACAACCAAGTCTTCTCCTAACCGCCGCCAAAACCAAAACAACAAAGCACTCACACCTAAAACATAGGTCTCTAACACCACTGACCTGCGGCTCAGTTATATGTTATTTTCATAGACTCACTCCTCACAATCATTCAATGTTTTGAAAGAAGAGTGATTACTTCCATTCTAGAAATGAGAAAATGAAACCTCCTACCTGTAAGGCCTCCAATCGCATGGGGGATGGTTCATAGATGCTCCCCGCTGCACAGCCAGCATCACTACTGGAACAGGACTCCTCCTTGGGCAGTACAACAGTGGAAATGCAAAGTCGGATGAGCCAGCAAGGCTCTGAAGACCCCTTAGGGGAGCTAACTGAAGCCTCTTCCAAAAAGGGTCCCGAGGGGGCTTTCTTCCACCAATCAGGAGCGCTGAGGTGAGGAGTTGCTGAATTGCTATTGCTGAGTCCGGAAGAGCAGGGCTGTTGTAAAAGGAGCTGGACTTCAGGTAGAGGCGCGTGAGTGGACACTATGGCTCCCAAGAGAGTGAGGCTTGACACTCGAACATTCACATCTGTCAAAGTTGATGGGAATCACTATCACTGTGGGAACAGCTATCGCAAGGATCACAATTATTCCCGCAGACAATGAAGAATGATGGCGTCCTTGTGTAACCTGAATCCAATGAAACCTCCAGACCCAACTTCCAGTTTATAGAAATACATGGGACAGAAACAGAATTTAAACAACACTGTAGGGGCGCCTGGGTGGCTCAGTCGGTTAAGAGGCTGACTTCGGCTCAGGTCATGATCTCGCGGTCCGTGAGTTCGAGCCCCGCGTGGGGCTCTGTGCTGACAGCTCAGAGCCTGGAGCCTGTTTCAGATTCTGTGTCTCCCTCTCTCTGACCCTCCCCCGTTCATGCTCTGTCTCTCTCTGTCTCAAAAATATACGTTAAAAAAAAATTAAAAAAAAAAAAATAAACAACACTGTAAAGAACGTATCTGGCAAACTGAGAAGGTAAAACAGGCTTTAAGACAACGATCTTGGACTCTTCCCCAAATCAGCGTGGTGAAAGAACAAAAGGGTGATGGGACTACTCTAGATTAGAAGAGACTAAACTGACATAATAATGACACGAAATGCATGAACCAGGAATGAACCCAAGTCCTCACAAAAAGGGAGGGAAGACTTTTTGAGACATATGGTGAAATGTGAATGTGGAGTAGATACGAAACAATATTATGGAATTGATGTGGATTTCTTAGGTGTGAGAATGGGGATGTGTTTTTTAGGAAATTGTCTTTGTTCTTGTAAGATGCATGCTGAGGTATTCAGGATGAAATATCATGTCTGGAGTTTACTTTCTTTTTTTAAATTTTTTTATGAAAACAAAAAAAATTTCTTTAACATTTATTTATTTTTGAGAGACAGAGACAGAGACAGAGCATAAGCAGGAGAGGGGCAGAGAGAGAGGGAGACAGAGAATCCGAAGCAGGCTCCAGGCTCTGAGCTGTCAGCCCGGAGCCCGACGTGGGGCTCGAATTCACAAACAGTGAGATTGTGACCTGAGCCGAAGTCTGACACTTAACTGACTGAGCCACCCAGGTGCCCCAGAAGTTTACTTTCAAATGGTTCAAAAATATACCTATTTATACACACATACGTATACACAGGTACACAGATACATACATGCAGAGACAAAGCAAATATGACAAATGTTAATAACTGTTAAGTCTAGGTAGAGATATGCACATGTTCACTGTACTATGCTTTCAAGTTTCTGAGGGTTTGACCATTTTATTCATGAAAATGCTAAGAGACAAAGCCAGACACTTGGGAGGGACGTGAGACATGGTCCACTCCTCTCAGTTTACAGATGAAGAAAAGCTGGTGCAGCGGAATGAGCAGGGGACTGAGCCCAAAGACTTGAGTTGTTTCAATCTTACTTCTGCCACTGACATGAGAGACGTCAAAGGCAAGATTTATCTTTCCCATTTTACACATTGGTGAAACAAGTGAACTGGACTGTGATGTCCAGTGATACATGTGTATACATCATCTCCTTTAAGCCTTATAAAAATCTTCCAAGGTAGGTCAACGTCTTCCTGTTAGGAGGAAATGACAGTTCTGACAGAGCCACAGTTATGAGATGGAGGAAATGGGAATGGGCTGCAGACCCTCAGCCGGACTCCAGGTCTAGTACCCCTCCCATGACGTCACAGAAACATCACTGCCTCCTTCAAGAACTCTGACTGAAAAACTTATCAGAATGTGGTCTGGATAACAGACCACATAGTACTTTCATTGCCTGCTTGCTAGCAAAAGAAAAACAAATGTTCTCTAGGCAAATGTTTATAGCACAGACATATCACGTGTGGGAGTAAGTCAGGAAATAACAAGAAATAAGAGTCTGCAGTAAGTGGGGGAGTTGAGGTTCTGGAATTTTATCTAAACTGCAGAGGAGATAATCTTACAGCAGTTATGTTTTATATTCCAGTTTTTCTTTCCAAAAAGAGGATGATGTCTATGTGATTGTCCACCCATCCTTACTTCTGCCTTAAGGATAGAAACTATGTATTGTGTACCAGAGCACTGCCCCCCCCAACCCCCCCAGCGCCGGCCCCCTGTACTTGGCTCAACCAGAATTCTAAAGTCACTACACTGCAGCAGCAAAGAACCACTAATCTTTACAATTAATTCTCCAGCTCACTTCTTCCAGGTGTCCACTGGGGCTTCTGGGGTCAAAAGCAGGCTTCTAGCAATAGCTGCTTTCCCCGAAAACTTGAGAATGAGTAGAGATATCTTAGAGCTGTAAAAATGCTCTCAATATTTTTAAAACTAATAATCTAGATTTGATTGATACAAAAGAGCAATCGATTTTAAACTACCACCAACCTTTGTGGCGGATATAAGGCTTTATCTGGTTCCAGACTTTGGTCAACAGGCTGAGTTTCAGACGGTTGTAAGGTGAATTTGATACTAAATTTGCAAGGCACTGCAAAAGACAAGAATATCCCATCAATAGGCCTGATTAAGCCACAGCACAGACACAAAATGTTATAGCATTTAATTAAAAAAGAAAAGTCTATGAAGACTCATTTGAAAATCAGTTTTTTTCTTTTTTGTCCTTTTTTTAGGGGACTTGCACTTGTGTTCTCACTGGTACAACTTAATACTAAAAATATGGGAGTATTTTTAGTAAATCATTTATTTGGATATACAAAGAGTGTAGGTAAGATCAAGCGAGGAGGCACAATAGGATAGCTTTTTTTTTTTTTTTAATAGAATAGCTTTAAATAAAACAAATAGGATAACTTTAAATAAAATTGTTACTTCTATTCTTAAGTCAAATTACTTTTGGACAATGTAAAACATTATACAAGATCGAAACAGAGAAAACCCATCCAGAACCCGTTGATAACTTGGCATGCTTACCTTAATTATCTGAGTGAGGGTCTGTGAGGATGACTCCGCCACCAAAGCTAACAAAAGACATCTGTGTAACTCTCTAATGCTGGATGCGATCATCACGGAGAAGGGAGTAAAAGCCCTTCTGTGGTCACTGGTGTCTTCAGCAACAGAAAGAAACTGCTTTGAGCCTTCCAAGATGGCGGATAAAACTTGCAGAGCACACGCACGTGTCTGAAATTTCAGAATGATTCACCTTGATTAGTTAATAATCAGGAGTCAAATCCCCTTCTTCCTATTTTTGTTTTTAATTTTTGAAGTATTTAGGATCATTTTAATTAGAAAATTAGAGGCAATAAGATTATCTATCAGGTCCTAAAAGTAGCCATGAACTAGGCCACTTGCACCCTCACTTTAAAAAAACTTCTATCACATTGCTGTTAGGTTTTCTTACAGGAAGGAGTAAGTCTAAGCTACATAATATAAAACCCTGAAATCATGAACATGAGAATAACTTAAAAGATTAGAAGTCTAGTTTATTCAAGCATAAGGCCAAGTAAAAAGAGAGAACTAAATAGCTCGTGGGGTAGGAAAAAAAATACCCAAGTGTAGAGTCTGTTTCACACTAAACATGCGACACTGAAGCATCCATGAGTGCTCGAAGTTAATTAAACAGTGTATTAGGAACTTTGTGCACATTCAAGTTGGCAGGCATCATTAGTGATCCAACTTTTCAGAAACAGTCTTAGGTACAGAAAATAATACTGCCTGTAGTGAGAGTCTTTGATAATCAAAGAAAGGAAAACTATTAACTATAACCTCATGGAAGGAAAGGAAAATATGTGCACCTTTGTCAATGGTCTGCTGTACTTGTCAGGAAAAGTGTCAATGAAGCAAAATTTTGTTTATAAGATTAAAGCATTACTTTCAGTTGGTACTCTGATGATTCCGTGGTATTAAAAATCAGGAAAGAGGGGAGCCTGGGTGGCTCAGTCAGTTAAGCATCCAAATCTTGGTTTCGGCTCAGGTCATGATTTCGCCGTTGTGGGACTGAGTCCCACATCTCTCTCCTTCTCTCTCTGCCCCTGTCCTGCTTGCACACACTCTCTCTCAAAATGATTAAATAAACATTAAAAGCAAGCAAACAAAAAATCAGGTAAGAAAAAAATAAAAAGAAAGCCAATTTAACCATAATGGAATGCAGGTGATAAATGTAGGACCAGTTATATAATACTGTACCCTCTTTGGCCAGCCCCCCAGAATACCAACTAAATACTTCCAGATATTTTAAAAGTGGGGAATCAACATTGTAATTCTAATCTAAATATTTGCTCACCATGAAGCATATCTGAGTTTGGTGTGAAAAAGGTTCTCCAGAAAATCTTCAACTATATCATCTCCAAGTAACTAAGGAATAAGTCATTTCTGCACATCTTTTGTAGAGTGGGCTCACAAACAAAAAACTAAAGATTTACCGCTCTGAGAATAAATTTGTAGTATGACAATATAAGTCTTCAGAATCAAGCATAATCATTTAAGTTAGGAAGCTGACAATGTATTAGGAAATTGTGTGTGTGTGTGTGTGTGTGTGTGTGTGTGTGTGTGTGTGTATGGGTGAGAGGGTGAGAGGGTGAGAGAGAGAGAGAGAGAGAGTGAGAGAGACAGCAAGCGAGAAAGAACTCAAGTCACAAGTCAGCTGACCCAACAAAAACTTAGATAAGGGGCTGCCAAACTTTTTCTGCAAAGGACCAGTAGCACCTACTTTATATTTTAGACTTTGTAGGCCACAGCCTCTGTTGCAACCACTCAGCCATGACAAGACAGATGCTAAATAAAGAATAAATATGATTATGTTCCAATAAAATTTTACTTACGGACAATGAAATCTGAATTTCATATAATTTTCACATGGCATGAAATACCATTTTAAAAAGTTTTTTCTTAACAACAATTTAAAAGTATAAAAGTATTCTTAGCTCATGGGTCATACAGAAACATAGTTTGCCAACGCCTGATGAGATGGCAGGTCTGAATAAAGGTATGCTATGCTGAACCTCCATTTCTTTATAAGGCAGTTAAAAAATCATGATTCCCACAGGTGACAAAGCAATTACAATTTAAAACCAACTTGTGGAAAGAAATGAACTGATACTCAAAAGCCAAAAGTTTTTAGCCTCATTAACTTTGGTACCCTAAGAGGTAAAAGTATCCATGACTATCACAAATGAAAACAAAAGGAAAGTCACTGAAATGTATCACCGAGGTAGGAAATCTATGAAAAATATAATACTATATCACATGATATTTCTCATAGGTCTGATTTAATTTCCTTTAAACCTTGTTTAATAGATCTCTGTTGCTAAAAAAAAAAAAAGCTACTTATGACACTGAATCATTCAAGTTCTGCTTCACTGATTCTTACATCAATATTTAATATACTGTTTACCAGTTCTGATCAGCACTTTCAGCAGAAATTACTGATGTGCAAGCAAATCTTAAGAGGGGCAGCTCTCCAGAGAACTCATTTTGTTAAGTTTTTATTGTCTGAATATTTACAATGATGGATGAAGACTTTTCAATCTGATAAACATCAGTGTGCTCTGTTTCACCAGGGAGTAGTTTCACTTCCTTGGACATGAAGACTTGTTCAAAGGTAATGAAACAGGAAAACACTTTCCCCTTTTTGCTACTTATGGATGTGGCAGAAATGTTTGCAAAGGTAGCTCAGTTAGTCCTTAGTTTTTCCTTTTTTTATGTTTGGTCTCAATCTTCCTGGGAGGATGATAAAGAAGTCATGGCTGGGAGTGGGTAGCAGTGAGGTTTCAATGTACTTGGTTGTTCCCTTCTTTAGCTTTGTCCCAGGACTGATTATTCTGCACACATGTTCAAGGTTAACTTTATTTGATCACACTCCTAAAGTTGGTTGCCTTTAGGGTGGGGGCATTTGAACACTGTGTCGGGGTCTCTAGATTCTTGGTCGGCCATATAAGGGAAAACCCGACTACCTACCAGTCCATGATAGTTACAAACCTGCTTTATTCTCTTTCCTTATAGGGCTATTACTCTAGATTTTTATTTGTTTTCACATTTCATAGCTCTCCAAAAGAGAAATAAAAAATCATGAAATTTGAAAATCGGGATAGTTCTCAAGGTACCAAGAAAGTTTGTCCCATAGTTTGTTCCCTAGATCAAGTCTTGCTATAGCCACATAATCTACCTTTTTAACACCCAAAGAGGGGCGCCTGGGTGGCGCAGTCGGTTAAGCGTCCGACTTCAGCCAGGTCACGATCTCGCGGTCCGTGAGTTCGAGCCCCGCGTCGGGCTCTGGGCTGATGGCTCAGAGCCTGGAGCCTGCTTCCGATTCTGTGTCCCTCTCTCTCTGCCCTTCCCCTGTTCATGCTCTGTCTCTCTCTGTCCCAAAAATAAATAAACGTTGAAAAAAAAAAATTTATCTTTAACACCCAAAGAAATCCTATAGAAGAAATTCATAAATTAGTCATGGTATTTTTATTGATAATTTGCTCTGTGCCATCTGGAAACATACAGGATGTGCTTTCTGAAGCACATTTCCAACATGTAAAAATATGACCATTTCCCAAGTACTGCCCACTGCCAAATCCTAAAGGAAATTTCTAAGTTTTCTCCTTTGGAATTAATCACTCTAACATTTCATACTGCAACTTCCCGAAAGTAATCTATTGCCAGTGTTCTGAATGAAGAGTCCAGTCCCCTTCCTTCTGTCCGTTTTTCTTTGGAAAGTTTCTCAGCATATCAGTAAAAACTGTGCTTCCAGTTGAATCTACCCTAGGTCATACCAGAGCTGCCATGAACTTGAAACTGTCATCACTGTGCACTTCAGCAAGATGCACTACTGTCATGTTTCATCCTAAGAGAAACTTCAGGCATCCAACTCTATACTTACAACGAGCCTTTGAGCAGATGACCACTCAGCTTTTACACATGACTGTACCTTTTAATCTAGCTCTGATCAACGATTGCTGCTCCATTGCATTTATGTGAACTTTTAAGTTTTGCACACAACTTTCTAGGAGTCTTTGTAAAAAGTCTCTCTCACTGACATCACCGACCACAACACTTGCTCCTAGCACGTGTCTTGGTGCACAGGGACAGTTTGCAGAGGTGTGTACTAAGGCTCACTGTGGACCATGATCACACTTCTTTACACCTTTCTAACCTAAAATCTGTGACAAAGCTTCTGGCTACAATCATTTCACTTGCCATTACATGGAACTGACAAGTTCTACTCATTAGTTTGATCTTTCTAAATCCTACAAATGATGACTGCTTTTCCATTTCTCCAGGACCTTCATGTCCTGGAGCTAGGACATCTCCAGAAGGAAGTTCTATACGTTTCCTTTTCATCACATTTCTTGCATTGCATTCATCAAAGTTAAAGAGCAAGACCATATCTAAAAGGTACCCAAGGCTCCATAGCTCAGGGGTTAGAGCACTGGTCTTGTAAAAGGTACCCAAATCAAGGAGGACCACTTTGCAGCATGTAAAATTTCTCATGGTACTCTAAGGCAAATGTAAACATTAAAAACTATAAAGACAGGGGCGCCTGGGTGGCGCAGTCGGTTAAGCGTCCGACTTCAGCCAGGTCACGATCTCGCGGTCCGTGAGTTCGAGCCCCGCGTCGGGCTCTGGGCTGATGGCTCAGAGCCTGGATCCTGTTTCCGATTCTGTGTCTCCCTCTCTCTCTGCCCCTCGCCCGTTCATGCTCTCTCTGTGTCCCAAAAATAAATAAATGTTGAAAAAAAAAATAAATAAAAAAAATAAATAAATAAAAACTATAAAGACATAAACACCATGACACAGATTTCAATCCACTTTCATGAAATCCGACTCCATAACCTCTCTGTACTCATATCCCAAACTCATACGTTCGCTGTCCCCTTGGCTGGGCAGCTGCAGTGCGGGTGGTTTACCTAGCCTGCCACTTGCTCCACAGGATGATCTCCTCAGCTCCTGCCGGCAGCTCCCCGCAGCCGGAGGCTTTTCTTTTCTTTTTTTCTTTTTTATTTATTTATTTATTTTTGGGGGAGGCTTTTCAAATATATGTATTTTTTAACCTTTATAGTATTTTTCCTTTCACTTACAAGAATGGCTTCAGTACTGACTTATTTGTCACCCCTTATTTTCCATTTTTCTTACAGGTTCTCATTTGCTACTGATTCAGTTAATCTGAAAATTTCCTGCTGGTTTAACGACTCAGGATATTGGATGTTTGAAATTTTTGTGCTTAACTGAGGCCTGTTTATTTTTTTCACCCTGTAAAAGCTTTTGAAGGGTCACCCACAAGTTTTCTTATGTGTTCTTATCATAGACATTTTTCTAAGCTTTACATATTCTTCGTAACCATTATGGACGAAGATGTTCCACTGAGTGTTTAAACTGCTTTTGATTTTTTCCTATTATAAATCCCATGGCAATCAACATTCCCATAAAAGGGAAAGAACCACGGCTGTCTCAGTGCAGCTCCAAAGGGATACGGAGGCTACAAGTCAGTGCGCTCAGGCTCCAAGCAAGCCCTAGGCAGCAGGGCCCCTAGTGTGAGCCTTCTCAGGCTGCTACTCACATACGCCCGTGTTCTGTCCTCCTGCCTGTCCTGTGGTTCTCCAGTCAGGAGTTGGACTGTTAGTAATGAGAGCTGTGTTCAGATGAGACCAGATAAGGCAGGGAAAACAACAAAGACTTTCCTGGTATTATGCTCAGAATTTAAGTGCTTTTACCTTTGGAGAAGGATCTTTTAACGTAAGAGTCATCAGGGACACTGACTGAGGGCTTCCAAGCTCGGGTGTATCAGGAACAAAGGCTGACCAGTAGCCATAAAGAACTTTTTTTTCTATTGATTTTATAGTAGAAAGAAAACAAGCTAATGCTCCTTGGCGAACTTTGGCTTGGTAAGACCTATCCAAGAGAAGGAAGAAAAAAAGTCTTTAAAAAATACAAACATGAAATTCTATTTATTCCAGCCACCTCACATGATGCACTAAGAAACTCAACTTTCTGAATAAACCCAAAAGTAAATATGCCAACGTGATAGTTGAAAAAATAGTTTTCAAAATGCAATCAAAACATGCTAAAGCAATTTGTTTACATAACAAGTTAATACAGTAAACAATATAAAACACAACTAGACAGAAAATAAGAGGGCAACAGCTTGGCATCAGGAGTAGTGAGTATGTGCCAGGCACTGTGCTGAGGCTGGCAGACATAAAGCCCGCCCTGCCCCCAAGGAGCCTGAGAGGGGCAGAGACAGACAGACAGTTAAAGAGATAACTGCAGGGCATTTTGATCGATGCTAAGGTGGAGATACATCAAAGGGTCACAAAGAAGGCACCAAAGCCAGAATTGGGGAGCAGGGGTGCTAGTAAGAAAAGGCTTCTCAGAGGACATGATTGCTGAGCTCGTACCAAAGTGGAGTAGTGGTTAATAAGAAGGCACACAAAGTGGGAGAAAATTCCAGGCAGAGGAACAACATGTACAAAGGCAGATGAAGGGGACAAGGCAGATGTAGAGTGACACAAAGCCCAGCATAAATGAATCTTCAAATTAAATCTTGTGTAGCAGTCAGGTTTTTAAGCAAAGTTATTAACTTATGTGCACCTGAGATTAGAAGGCGTAACAACATAACAAAATACTACTACCTCATTTTACTCTGCATGCCTCCTTCAGCATCCGAATAGTCAGACTCACTACTGCTGACCTTTTTCCAACTGGCAGAACGGAAGGGGGTGGAGACTCGGTCTCTTCCTGCCATGCTGCTTCCCTCTACAGGCAAACTTCGGACTCCCAGGGAGGAGGAGCAGGGAGTGCTCCCCTCACGCAGGTTCTCTTTGCCTGAGCCAGTGATGGGGGCTGCTTCTCTTTCACCACTGGATTCTTCCTCTTCCTCTTCTTGCTGGATTTTCCTTGATTTTACTTTTGATTTCTTCTTTTTATTCTGATTTTAGGAGCAAATGAAAACATACATATGAGAGGTATTGGTACTTTCTCATTTGATAATTTACTAAATATGTCCCCAACATGTAGTCTGAAGAAAGAAGAAAAGAGGAGAGGAGAAAAAATGGCACTTACTTAATACTCTGTGTGTCAGGTGCTGTGCTAAGTGCTTACACACACCCTACTGGACTACAGGAAACAAGGCATGACGTATGTACAACAGAGCCATACTGGTAGCCTGGGTTTAAATTCTACCTCTGTGACTGTGGGCAAATCATTTCACCTTCCACTTAGCTTGAAGTTCCTGATCTGTGAGTATAAGGCTAATGCCACTTTCCTTGCACAGTTGTGAAAGCATTCAGCAGCAACAGATTTCAAGTCTATAGAAAATGACTAGAGTGACAATTTTCTCAGTTCTTCCAGATAAGACCCATAGCTAGCACCACTCTAGACGTAGAAGAGAGACGTTAATCCACTATATACAATGCACGGTTTAGGTCACTGAGGCTTTGTAGATAGTAAGTAAGAGCCAGTTTCTTTCTTTTCTCCTGCTTCCTTTCTGACATCCAAATATCTTTGGAATCTAGGCCTCCCTCTGCATTCTCAAGGTCCCCTGAATTTAAGAAAGGAAGGTCCTCATCACTTCTATTTTGTATTATTAACATGGCCCCAGACTCACACCTTTTACTTGCTACCACAGTGATGTTTCCTAGATGTGTATCTGATCATATCACTCCCCTATATGAGTCTTCATCTCTGCCACCTGTAAGATAAAAACTAACTCCTTAGCATACTACAAAAGACCCTTATGATTTGGCCTCTGCTACCTACTTGTCCCAGCCTTCTCCTGCACGCACCTGACACTCTAGACTACTGGTTAACAAATAGGCTGCACACATGCTCATCCTCTATGCCTAGGCACCTTCTGTTTCCTCTGGCGGAAAAAAATAACCAACACTTTCCTTCCTTTTTGTACTCTACTCATTCTTTAAAAAAAAAAAAAAAAAATTTTATTTTGAGAGCAAGAGAGAGAGAGCAAGCAGGGGAGGGACAGAGACAGAGGGAGAGAGAAAATCCCAAGTAGGCTCTGAGTTTCTCCCCTAAACTCCTAAAAACAGAATCTATATCCTTAATGTTTAGCATAATGTCTGGGATGTAGCAAGTATTCAGTAAATGTTGAGTAACTCAATGAGTAGAAGAATTTCGAATTATAAACATTTTATAAGTAATACCGGATACACGCCCAGATATAATACAGTGGCCCATATATCTGTATGCTCTAGGTTCTCCAATGGAAACATGAGGGAGATGGCAACTATATGAACAGGCTGGGAAACCTGGCAGTTGTAACAGAGACCTACAATATTTACCAGTTAGCCTTTTGTAGAAAAAGTGGGTTGACCTGTGGTCTCGAGCATTTGGGGAACGAGGATGTGCGGCTTCAGGCGTAAAGTGAATGTCTGCTGCTACAGCTTACACTGCCTAGACCTCTTAGAAATATAAGATGCTCTAACCAGTGTTTTCAGCAGTCTGATGAATTTACATTTACTATGCTAAAAACCCAAAACTGAAATCAAATTTAAGGTCAGCCTTTGGCGCAAGTAGGTATGCAAATCACAGAAAATATATATTAAAAACAATCCACAACTTCGTGCTAAGTAAACACAAGCATACCACAGCTGGTCGAGAAGTGTTGGATTCGGATTGCTGCAGTTTGACAGGTGGCCGCCCGTCATACTGAGGAAGCGGAGTGGGGTATAACACCGTGGGCAGCTCTATGTTTAGTCCCGGGAGTCCGTGAAACATAGATTTCTGATGATGATGATGAAGGAAGCGCACACACAAAAACAAATCATAAAACAGAATGATTTGCCATGTTCTGAATCACATCGATGAACCGATTAATGTCTAGAATCTTATTGAAGAAATTCAAAGGGACAGAAAATTGGTATCTTGAAGGTTTAGGGCTTACAGAAGAGTTTAATCCCATCTGGGTGGATCTGGTCTGGTCAGATGAGTTTAAGTTTGATTTTACTTTATTTATTTACCATTTTTATTAAGTTTAAAAATTTATCCAACCTGTTTTATCCGATTATTTTATCTATGATTTTTTTAAACAATCTATCATTTTTATTTCACTTATCCATGTCCACATCTAGCTGTCTATATGGGAGATGGGACAGGGAAAGATTTAAAGTTTTAGTCACGATCAAGGTAAGTTAAAAATGGCTTTGACCCGAGGCCGCTTCCTGGCTGACCTGAAAGGTGGGTCCCCAGAGAGGTACCTTCCCACCGACCAGCAGGCTCAGAAACGAAAGGAGGCAGCCTACTAATTGCCATCTGACTGGCCTGTCTACTTATGTGGGCCAAGAGCCAAAGAGAAGCCCTGGTTCCTCTTTCAAGTACAAACAGGTTTAAGAGGATCTACAATTAAATTGTCTACAGATCATAAGCTATTCCCTTCCTAAGTGAAGATTCATACGTAAAGTTTTAGAATTTTGATGAATTTACTTAAAGCACAGCTTACTGTTTTCAGTTCTTAATTTGACATATGCCTACATATGAACATTTGAACGATCTCCTAATATATACTGCCCAAAAGCTAGCTTTAGAGAAATGACATGAAGTGGTCCCTATGCCTGGGGTCTGAGCAGGAAAGACACTCATCGCGATGAGCACTTACCTTTAGCACAGCCAGAAGAGCTCCAAGTTCCTCGGTCTGTGTCAGTTTCATCTTACCCCCATTGAGAAGAGACTGTATACCTTTCAATGCATTTTGTAACAACTGGGGGAGAAAAGAGGCCAAGTTAGAAGGTACAGAAAATTTGGTTATCCAGGGGTCAGCTTCCTAGCACCACCTAGGATGAAGAAGTCTTTCAATGATGAAAAAAATCATGCAACAGGGGAAAAGAAAGAAGATCTAGAGGAGAGATGTGATGAACTACTAATTATTTTCCAGAAGAACAGAGTGTTCTCACTGAAAAGAGTGGTCTTACTGTACATGTTTGTAAGCTAGCATGTACAAATGGTGAGCAAGGAGGAAAAAAAAAACAGGAGGTGTGTAGTGGGAAGGAGGTGACAGGGATGGAAAAGTGGCAGCAGAGATTGGAAGCGGGGAATCTCTATGATACAGCAGCCTCACTAGTTCTTAAAGTCAAAGGAATGTATGTGGGAACAGGTTTCTAGAGGGCAATTCTGATCGAGATTGATCTTTTGACTCAGCATTCTCATTAAGAAATAGTCCTTGGGTGCCTGGCTGGCTTAGTCGGTAGAGCATCCAACCCTTGATCTCAGGATTGTGAGTTCAATCCTCATGTTGTGTAGAGATCACGTAAATAAATAAAACTTAAAAAAAAAAAAAGATACTGTCCTTAAAAAACACTCCCCACACAGAGAGGATGTGGAACATAGCCTTTTTCTGAAATAGTGGAAACACTAAAGAAACTTCAATGTCCATCTGTTATGACAATCATTATGTAAGAAGCTAGCCCTCTGCTACATGGGAAACTCAATCATGATAACAGGAAGCATCTGCCAAGCACTTTAAATGATGTATTTCACATACCGTTCATGTAACTGTATCATTCATCTCATTTGAGAGAAAAAGTATATGGAGACTCAGGAAGTTAAGTAACTTGCCCAACGTCTCCCAGCTACAGCAGTTAGAAATGCATGAGGTACATTAATAGGTACTGAAAAGATGCCCAAGAAATATTAACTTTAAAAAAGAGATACAGTGGTAAAAAACAGCATATTTAATATGATCCCACTGAAAAATTCTAAAATATAGTCATTTATATACAGAAAAAAATGTCTAGGAGCATGTAGAACAAATTGTTCCAGGTGGTTATATCTGAGCAGGGAACTATAGGGAACTTTCACTACCTTAGATCTGTAAGTTTTGAAAAGTGTCACTCTGAATTTAAAGCATGTTAACAAATTGCCATATCTGCATCAGAGTTTTTAAAAAGAAGTAATACTGCAGATATTGTTGAAATCTCCTTTCCCTTCCATCTAAAAGACTGTTACTATTCTGAAACTGTATTGCTTTTATAGTCAGGAGGGGAAAAAATACTTTTCTTCAAAAATCTAGAACCACAAAACAAACAGAAACTGTTTTGTAATTTAAACCTGAAAGATATGATTTCCATCTTTGCAGGTTATAAATATCTCACTTATGCCTTTATCTCCAGACAAAACTGATTCAACAACCAAATTATATTCTTTAGTCACAGCTGCTGTTCGACTACTGCTTCTAGACACATCTGTAACATTCACAAGATTAGTGGTAGCCCCACCTACCATGCAAAACGTGATATCATCCATATCAGATGATTTTGGAGACTGTAAAGTGGTCAAGAAAGCCTGGAAGCAGATATTTGGGTAGGGTTCCTCCAAGTATGGCTGTCCTGGTACACTAAAACACATACAGAGAAAGTAACTCAAACTCAGTCTCCTTTGAAATGGGGCTTGCAAAAGAATAAGAATTAAAAATAGCAGTAATACAGACTAGTGGAGTTGGAATGTACCTTCAGATGAAACTATATTAAGGAAGACTGTGCACTTCGGGTAAGTAACTACGGCTGTGGAATAGCACATGACTAGAATGAATACCAAGAAGTAAGAGGGGTTTCCACAGGGAAAAGTTACAGAAGTTTGTAGTGGAAGAAGTATGGAGAAAGAAATCTTTTTTTAGCTCTACTTTTCAATGTGTAGAGGGAAACAATGCACACAGGTCTTGTCTGGCTAGAATCACACAGCTGAGCCCGACTCCTCCCCACTGGACAACACTGCAATGGGGAGTCAAGATACATAGGTTCAAGTCTGTGCTCCTCAGTTTCCATTGCACGAATCTACAATTTGGTGGATGGGATTGGTTCCATTTTCTTAGAAGAAATTGGCTTTGATAGAGGCCTCAACAAAGCTTAAATTCATGACTATATCCTTCTAGAAGACTTAATATGGTTAGAATTTGTATCAACAGAAAACAAAACCTTGACATATTGCATATGTACTGCTCTTTCCCTATTTTAGGGATAAGATCCTAGTCTATTTTTTCCTTTACTTTACCTTTTTAAACAAATACTACTAAAATAAACAATATACAATGATCTTATTAGCAAGGAACATGGGAAACACAAAGTAGGTTATTTTTCTAAGTTGGCTCTGGCTTCAGACATGAGAGGCCCTGTCTCATCACAGCCAGGAGATGTGGCCGGACTCACATACCTGAGACACAAGTTTGCCATGCAGTGCACTGCAGCTCTCCTAGCTTCAGGGTCGGGCTGAGCCGAGTCACTCAACTTCATCAAAATCCCGCTCTTGCCGAGCAAGTCTGGGAGGTACTAGAACAAAATAACAGCTAACGTGCGTCAGAAAAGGCTTCTTGGAAAATTATTACTCTTTAGGTGGGTGTCATTTTTTTTAACTAATGGGCGGTTAAGTCCCAAAAGACCAGCTGCTAGCTAAATCTTTCAAATGGGCATGCAAAGATGTGCCCTGAAACACCAGTAGCGATCATCACTCTCAGCTCAGGTAGCTGCTGAAGCTCTTCAGTCTTGGGTGCACACTGAAGGATGACGATAACAATAGTGGTTCATGTTTAGCGAGTGCCAAGCACTTTACAAGGACTGTCTCACTTCATCCTCAAAGGATCTACCGTATACATGAAGAAATGAGATTCAGGGTGGTTGAGTAAGGGTTGACCAAGGTCACACATCTCATTAATGACAGGATGGAAACCTGAGCACGAGTCTATTGGTTCAGAGCCTGTGTTCCTAACCTTTGGAAGGAAAGGCAGAACACAGTTTAAACTACCTTTTGACATTTTGAGCCATTGCAGTAAACCAGAGCTGCCAGGGCTTGGAGAATCTCCATGTGTGTCCAGGAACTACACTGCTGAATAGCAGAAATAGTATATGCCAACAGGAAATCCAGGTTTTGTTCATCAACAATCACCTATCAATACAGGAAAAAATATGCATCATCTAACTTGTAAAAAAAAATACTTTTATCTTTTTCAGACATGTATGCTCATCTGAACCAAGCTATGAAAGAAAGGGCACATGTGTCCATCTTTTTGGTGTCAGAAAGATCAGCTTTAAAGGCTTTGAACGTCTGATCAAGACAGGGCCTTCTCCTTGTCCCAGGGCCTTGCTCACTTCCTCCCCTTTACTCCCTCCACTCAAAATAGAGCCTGGCAAAGTCCCTGCAGCTTTTCCTGGAGCCAACCAGATACTGGTAGCTGTAAATACACAGATATGTAAGACTCAAGCCACTGAAATGGGCTTCTCTACATCATAAATGCTCAACAAACACACTATGAATATAAATGCCTGCTAAATAGCTACTATGTCTCACTATGATGTGGAGCATACAATGGGAAGAGACTGCATATCCTTGTCATCAAGTTTATAATCGTGTTGGGACAAAGGAGGCTAATCGAAGTAACAATTCATGAATAACTGAGATAAACTGTCATCAAAAGCTAGAAAGTTGATTAAGGGCTGTAGGTACCATCTGTGATCAGGAACTTTTCCAATTGCCAGTGCTACAAAGGTAATACATCTGAGAACAGTAAACCTTCAGAAGCTATGGTACCAGTGTGAAAAATTCTGAACTTGAAAACAGCCTCATTTCATTTAGGACGTCACAGGTAGCAGACACTGCTTACCTGTCAGCACTCATCTCCTCTCTCCTGCTGGCAGAGTATCGATTTTATTTGGGTACTCACCTCTTGCACATGGGACCTGAGGGTAAATCCTAATTAGCTAAGATACTGGTTCTCTACCAGGGGAAATCTTATTTCCCAAGGAAATGGGAATGTCTGTAGACAGTTTTGACTGTCACAATCAGAGGGATGCTATTGCCTTCTAAGGTAGAAGCCAAGGATGCTGCTAAAATCCTACAATGCACAGGAGAGCCGCCCTACAACTAAGAATTACCCAATCCAAAATATCAGTAAGTGTCGAGATTGGGAAACCCTGATATAAAAGTTGAGCTGCACAGTGTAATCATCTAGGGAGCTTAAGCCCTGCAGTTGATTCTAATGTGCAGTCAAGGTTAACCCCTGGTTTCAGTCACCCATGGTAATACTATTCCCTTGATCAGACCTAGGTCTCCCCAGCCAGATATGAGGGGAGGTCTGATGGAGAGTGATGGGACAACATGCTTCATTCTTTTTTTTAAATTTTTTTTTAATGTTTATTTATTTTTGACAGAGAGAGACAGAGCATGAAGGCGGAGGGGCAGAGAGAGAGGGAGACACAGAATCTGAAGCAGGCTCCAGGCTCCGAGCTGTCAGCACAAAGCCTGACGCGGGGCTCGAACTCACGGACCGTGAGATCATGACCTGAGCTGAAGTTGGACACTCAACCGACCGAGCCACCCAGGTGCCCCAACATGCCTCATTCTTTTTTTTTTTTTAATTTTTTTTAACGTTTATTTATTTTTGAGACAGAGAGAGACAGAGCATGAATGGGGGAGGGTCAGAGAGAGAGGGAGACACAGAATCTGAAGCAGGCCCCAGGCTCTGAGCTGTCAGCACAGAGCCCGACGCGGGGCTCGAGCTCACAGACTGTGAGATCATGACCCGAGCTGAAATTGGACGCTCAACCCACTGAGCCACCCAGGTGCCCCAACAACATGCCTCATTCTTACAGAGACACAAAATAAATCATTTTTTTGTTTCTGCTGGGGGTTATTTATTTATTTCGCATGGAATGCCTGGAACTGAGGCAGCCATCTTGACTAGGAGAGATGCTAGCTGAGGACAGCCCATACACCGATAGCAGAATGGAAAAATGTCAGGAAGTTTCTCATAAAGTGCCCCTGGAGTGCCTCTCTTGGGGGTTGTGGTATGATATAATTTTAAAAAAAAATTGTTTTTAAGCTGTTATAGGTTGACTTTTCTGTTTCTTGCAGCCAAAAGCAGCCAAAAGGTTACATGGTGCTAACTGTAAATTTTGTGCTAACTACATTCACATCCTCATGTGGCATCTTATGGTAACAGCCTCAATGTCTGAACTGTTCCTAAAAAGATATGAGATTTATTTAGCAAACTGAAAACATTCTGGAGAAAGGAGAGCTACAGCACGGACCTTGTTATAAATAACAAGGGTCTTTCTATCTTTTAAAAAAAAAAAATTTTTTTAATGTTTATTTATTTTTGAGACAGGGAGAGACAGAATATGAACAGGGGAGGGTCAGAGAGAGAGGGAGACACAGAATCTGAAACAGGCTCCAGGCTCTTAGCTGTCAGCACAGAGCCTGACGTGGGGCTTGAACTCACGGACTGCGAGATTATGACGTGAGCCGAAGCCGGATGCCTAACCGACTGAGCCACCCAGGCGCCCCAAGGGTCTTTCTATCTAGTGTCCTCTTGCTCCCAAGCTACTTATGTTTATGAAGATCAAAAGCGGACCACAAAAATGGGGAAGGGGAAAACATATTGGTAGAAAAGGAGTAGTAGATTGTTTCAACTTATTCTTAGATATATCTTGGTCAAATACATCTTCCATGAAAAATTCTAAGACCTGGGGGACTCAATGATATTGCTTTCTTGAACCAAACAGAAAGGGGTAATTCTAATGGACAAACTTCTAGAATTGTGCAGAATAATTTTTTTGGTCAGAATTATATTTAATATCATCCCTAGTAAGGAAGTGCTTCTTCTAATTTCTCAAAAGATCAGCCTATCGCCCCTAGCACAGATGTAGCATGTCAAAGGTACTTATTTAGTTCATGATAAATTCTTTTTTTCAACGTTTTTTTTTTTTTTATTTTATTTATTTTTGGGACAGAGAGAGACAGAGCATGAACGGGGGAGGGGCAGAGAGACAGGGAGACACAGAATCGGAAACAGGCTCCAGGCTCTGAGCCATCAGCCCAGAGCCTGACGCGGGGCTCGAACTCACGGACCGCGAGATCGTGACCTGGCTGAAGTCGGACGCTTAACCGACTGCGCCACCCAGGCGCCCCAGTTCATGATAAATTCTAAAGTTATGCACATGATTACCTGTAATCTGTTAAGTAAATGGTGGATAAGTTGAGACACTTTGCTGACAAGATGATTCTGATTAAGAGGCACCAGTCGGCAAGCTTGGACAAGAAGAGCACTGACATCCTACCAAAAAAAACAAAAAAAACAAAAAAACAAAAAACAATGAAAGGTGATATGCCTATTTATTAGTCAAGTAAAGAAGCAACCCCTGCCCCCCAAACACAGCCAAACAGAAAAATGAAAGGCAATGTTCACACTCAAAATGAGGAAAGATAAAATGTGAGGCAGGAAGTAGGAAGAAAATTAAATGATAGCACAGAAATGGGATGTGCTAAAAAGAAGGAAAAGACACAATATGGTTTTTGTCAGTCTAAAAACTCCAGAGTCTCTACATATGTAGAAGTGCAATTAAATAGCCAAAGAGAGGCTTCCAGAATATAAAAACACACACCGAAGTTAAAAATACCAAAAAGTAAGCAAACAGACACACGAAAAGATGCTCAACAACACTTACCATCAGGGAAATGCAAACCAAAACTACAATGAGATATCATGTCACACCTGTCAGAATGGTTAAAATAAAAAACACCAGAAACAACAGGTGTTGGCAAGGATATGAAGGAAAAGGAACCCTCGTGCACTGTTGGTGGGAATGCAAACTGGTGCAGCCACTGTGGAAAACAGTATGGAGGCTCTTCAGAAAGTTAAAAATAGAACTACCCTAAGATCCAGCAACTGCACTACTGGGTATTTACCCAAAGGATACAAAAACACTAATTCAAAGGGATACATGCACCCCTATGTTTACAGCAGCGTTATTTACAATAGCCAAAGTATGAAAGCAGCCCATGTCCATCAACAGATGAATGGATAAAGAAGATGTGGTGTGTACACACACACACACACACACACACACACACACACACACACACACACAGTGGAATATTACTCAGCTATAAAAAAGAATGAAAACTTGCCATTTGCAATGACCTGGATGGATGGAGCTACAGAGTACAATGCTAAGCAAAATAAGAGAAAGACAAATATCATATGATTTCACTCATCTGTGGAATTGAAGAAACAAAACAAACAAGCAAAGGGGGAAAAAAAGAGAGAGACAAACCAAGAAACAGATTCTTAACTATAGAGAACAGACTAATGGTTACCAGAAGGGAGGTGGGTAGGGAGGGATGGGTGAAATAGGTGATGGGGATTAAGGAGTGCACTTGTTATGATGAGCACTGGGTGATGTACGGAATTGTTGAATCACTATATTGTACACCTGAAACTAATACAACACTGTATATTAACATACTGGAATTAATTTTTTTAATTAAAAAATAAAACTCATTCATTCCCATCTTGAAAAAGAAAACAGAAAGCAAGCAAACCATATTTTCAAGGCCACTGGGAAAATCAGGAGTGACACGTGTATAAGTTTAATGTAAAATTAGGTAATTCTAAAAAAAAAAAAGCGGGGAATCTATTTGCAAATCACACCATTCATTCCTCTATAGACGTTTACTGAATTAAAAGTCTGGAGCACCTATTATGTGTTAGATCTTTGGGATCCAAAGGTGAACAAACATATTCCTGAACTTCAAAGAGCTCATTATCTAGAAACACTCACAAAACATTAAAGTGAATTAAATGTTGAAAGAATTAAGTACAAACTCTATGGGGAAATGGTAATTAAGGAGGTCTTACAGAGGTGATTTTTAAGCATAACCTGGAATGATCTGAAGGATGACTTAAAAATCTGCCAGACATACAAAGCAACGAAAGATGCCACAAGCAAAGGGAATGGAGTGTGCAAAACCTGGAACACCAGTAGGTGTGAAACACTAGTAGAAGCTTGAGGAAGAGCAGGTTTTAAATGACTGCACACAGGGCACAAAAGAAGTGATGGGAGACTGGAAAAGCACATTATTTTTGACATAAAAATATCAAATTATACCAATAGAGCAAAAGTTCCCGAGTACTCCCGGAATTCCGCTCCACTCCCTAGTGATACACACTATTTAGTTGTTGTCAACTCTTCCATTTGTTGTTGTGAACGCTTTACATCTATAAATATACACAGTCTGTTAAACACGCTCCTCACCCTATACTGGTGTCACACTGCATGCATGAACTGTTCTGTAACTTGCTCTGATCACTTACAGTATGTAGTGAAGATCATCCCAAATCAGAGCTTTGCTTTCTAGTCAGATTTTTTTCCCACAAAAGAAAAGAGCACTCTAGCAGCAAAGCAAAGAATGGTATGGAGAAGGGCGGGACTGGAGGCAGAAGTTTAAGGAGAGTTCAGGAAAAAGTCATCTTGCCTGAAGGCTTAAGGCACTGGCAAGGGAACACAGAAAACGAGATGAGAAACATTTATGAAATAGAGTCTGAAGAATCCAGAGTGGATAGATCCAGGAGGAGGGAAAGGGAAAGCACCAGTGTTTGTGCCAGTGCGATTTGGCAGACTGTTCATGTTTCCCTGAGTGGGGGGAGGGGACGTGTTGGGGATACAGTGGTCTCTGCCGAGATAATGTAACTCATTTTTAGGAACTGTCAGGTTTGAGGTGACTCTGAGCACCGTAGGCAGTGGCATGACTGGGTCAAGAGTTCTAGGAGTTCATTAAGTAGTCTCCAAGGCCCGATGTGTGTGAATATTATTATTATTCAGAGTCAAAGTACTTCTAAAGAGGACGCAAAGAGGGAAAAGCTAGCACGGAGGAACAGAAAATGGCAGGGACCATGTGACAGACTTAGGCTCCAATTCTAGCGCTGCCGTTCGCCAGCAATATGACACTGGATCTTTATGTGCCTCCGTATTTTTAACAGTAAAACAGACCTAATATTACCGACGTTGTAAGATTCCTAGAACCGTGCGCGGTATATAGCACGTGACGGTCCGAGTTCCATTACTTAGTAAATGGTAATAGTGAATTTTATATACAAAGTGTTTTTGTATGCAGAGAGTGGAGCGGAGGCGAGGGGCGGACCAAATGACACCTGCGGTGTTACCAGAGCAGAAGTCATCAGCGGCGTTTTGAAAGATGCCGAGTTTGCCAAGCATTGCGGGGTCTTCCAGACAGAGGAGGGCAGAGACTGCCACAGTCGGAGGGAGCAAGCATGCCTGGAACTAAGTAATGCGAAGCGGTACCGAGAGAAGCCAGGAGAGGCCGGCGGGAGCTGCCAGCCCGGGTCTCTGAGGGTGGGGCCGGGGCGAGCAGGCGTGGCCCGAGTCCTCCCTACCCAGCAGGCCGCCTACCTCCGGGGCCACGCCGCCGACCTCGCCGTAGTTCTCAGAGATGAGCTGGTCGAAGAGCAGGTGGATCTCGGTGCGGGCGGAGCTGCTGTCGTCAGGACGGAGGGCGCAGAGCCTGGCCGACAAGCAGCGGAACCGACTGCCCTGCTCGGGCGGTGGCTCTCGTGGAACGTCTCGCGCCTGCCCGCCCGGCAGCGACTCGGCCACTTGCATCGCCGCCATTTTTCCCACGTAGGACCACAGGGAAATACTTCCGGGGCATTCCCGGCTCCGGGCGCCAGCTCCGGAAATAACTTCTTTAGACCAGAGCTGGCGTTCCTAGACGTTGGGATCTGCTTGCACTGCTGTGCGAATAGGTTTCAGAAACGGCTTGGAGGCTTTACTTGCCGCCCACTTCGCTTTGAGCCCTGACTGAAATTGAGACTTTATTTGTCCTCCTAGAAAGTTTGTTCCTGGGCAGGGCTGACATGCCTATTTAGTACTAGCGTTTCAAAATCGGACTGGAATTGGGGAGGGGCCGTTGTAGATGGCAATGGCAGAAACTGCTAGGTCTGCGACATCTTGGGCTCTTACCTTTTTTCCCAGGCACAAAACCACCCTGCATAAAGGATATAGTAACCAGTATTCCTTGCAGCTAGCTGTGCATCCTTTTGTGAATCTTGAGGCACTTCACCACACGAGAAAAGTAATTTGGAAGTTCAAACTCAAGCCATGTGAAATATAACCTGCCCGAAGGTGACCTAGTTGAGATTGGACACCCCAAGATTTCCTGTAACCTTAAAAGCAAGAAACTGGAAAAGAAAATAGCCATTTTAAATGCTATAAACAGTTTTTAGCCACCCAAGAAGTGAAGGCATGAAATTTACATTTGGTCATCTCAAGCCTTTTGAGTTATGCAAATGTAAAACAAATTATCATCAATGGTTCTTAGGGAAAACCTTGAAGGCACCTGAATATACATGTTTTATCTTGAGACAAACACTTCTGTTTAGCAATGGCAATTGGGGGCATGCTTTAGAAGAGCTAGTTTTCTAAAGACTTTGGGCTTTTGGGGGAGGAATATTTTTTGTTTGACTTTAGATTTCATTATGCTTGCATATTATTGCTTATTCTTGAGATGTGTGTATGTGTATGTTATGTATGTGTATTTGTGATGTTCAAGCACTTGCTCAGAGAAGATCAGGAGCTGAGGCCGAGTCACAGATGTCTTAGTCTGAGTTCTTCCAAAGCAGAGCCTTAGATGAGGTTGTTATATGAGTGATTTATTCAGGAATGAACAGGGAAGAAAGGGGAATCAATATGCATATGGGCTATTGAATTAACCATTGCAAGGGGTGGTATTTGCTCAATCCTCAAGATTTTCTGAGAAGCTTTATGGAATGCTGTCAGAACCCCCTTCCTGAGGAATGGAAGATGGAAGCATATATCTGCCAGCCTTTGAATTCTGTTGTCAAGCATTGCCCCACCAAGCATCAGTTCTCCAGTGCTTTTCATTTGAGCATGCATCAGTGGGTGGTGGCTCTTGTGGGAGTTTCTAGATGCACAGAGAAGCCCTGAGGCAAAAGTGAGAGGTGGAGGGTACTGGGGTACAGTCCAAGACAAGGCTCTGATAAAAGCCTTAACTTGTGCTAAGCTAGTAGATGCCTGATTGAAGCTGGTTGCTGTAGCAATGATTAGACTAAGAATAAGAGCGGGGCGCCTGGGTGGCGCAGTCGGTTAAGCGTCCGACTTCAGCCAGGTCATGATCTCGCGGTCCGTGAGTTCGAGCCCCGCGTCAGGCTCTGGGCTGATGGCTCAGAGCCTGGAGCCTGTTTCCGATTCTGTGTCTCCCTCTCTCTCTGCCCCTCCCCCGTTCATGCTCTGTCTCTCTCTGTCCCAAAAATAAATAAAACGTTGAAAAAAAAAATTTTAAAGAATAAGAGTGTAAGGCCAAGAGTATTCAAAGCAGTGCACAAGAGATATCCAACACACTGGGCTAGAAGGATGTGAGACCTGATCATCATCACAGTGGAGGTGGTGTGATAGAGACTGTGGAAAGGATCAGGGTTTGGTGTGGCTCATCTTAGGTTGCAACCTGAGTGGCCCACGCATACTGTTATTCAAGACTGAATGACCCAGATATTGTAAAGTATACTGATACCAGTCTGTTGAGTTCTGATGGAATGTACCCTAGCAGATGGCAATGTGGTTTCTCCAAGGAAATGAACATTCCTACCCTTTGCTGATCACCAACTGAAGAAACATATATCAAGCTTTCAGGGAGGACTTGAAGGCCCACTTCATTGGCTTGTGTTTAGATGATAACCCCCAAACTGTGGAATTCATAGCTTGGCAAAAATCTCTCCCAAGAAAATCTCCTCACATATCCTTATTCCTCCTCACTCTCAATCTTTTTTAATCCTACAGTGGCATTGGGACTTTAAGGGATGCCTAGCATATTCATAGCTATTTCCTTTTGTAAGTTCTGCATAAAGTGGTCTGGAGCCTTACTCTGGAATATTACCTCTTTCATATTTTGGAACTCTGTCAAGACTTCATTTTTATTACCTCATTAGAGTGTGGATCATCCTAACTAAAGTAGGCTTTACCTTGCCCCCTTCTCCTTGTAATTCACATCCTTGTTTATTTCCTTCAAAACCTTTACCATAATGTGTAGTTATTTGTTTACTTGGTTTTATCTGTTTCCTCTTCTAGAATGTGAGCTTTGTGAAAGCACACATCCCATCTGTCTGGATCACTGTTGTTCAATGTCTGCATCATTTATCGCTGTTCATCAATGCTAGCACAGCAACTGCATCATGGAAGACACTCACCAATACTTGCTGACAGAATTAATGGATTCACTATTTATTCGGAGCCCCCAATTTGCCATTTGTTACTTGTTGTGAAAATCAAATGGGATCTTTGTGAAAATACTTTGTAAACTATAAAGTTCTGTAAATCTTAGCATCCAAATGAGGGAGACACTGTTACTTCCCCCTTTTTACAGATAAGAAAAGTTTAAATGGCTTAAAAAAAGAAAGTATAAAGAATTTAAATGATTTGTCAAGGGCCACACAGGCAGTAAGTTGGCCAAAATCAGACTACAACCCAGGCCAGTTGTGATTGTGAAGACCAGAGACAAGAAACTATAAGTCTGTTTTTACCCATGTTTTGTAATGGGGAAAACCAGAAGAGAGAGGCTGGTCCTAAGAATTGAGATCAACTAGGGTAGGCTAGGAAGGAGGATTGGCCTTGGCTTCTCTTCTAGAATCTTAGAAAATTAGGACTAAGGGCCATCAGCCCATCTATTTGGTAATGTTTGTTTGTGTCAGGCACTTTGAATGTTTTCTGTGTCAGGCACTATGCCAAGCATGCCAAGCACTTTACATGAACTAACTTCTTTTATCCTTGTAGCTCTAGGAAGTATATATTGATAATCAGATCAGAAAACTAAAGCACAGAAAGGTTAGGACACTTGCTGAAGGTCACACAGTTGTGTGGTGGAACTGGGTTTGGAATTCAGAATCAGAGCTCCTAACTACAATGCTATAATGCATAGGCCCTGGAGCTTGACATGAGATTAGCGATAAGGTCCTGACACTTATCTACTATATGAGTTTGAGTAAATTACTTAATCTCTCCAAACCTCAGCCCCCTTATATGTAAAATGGTAGTGGTAATAAGCAGTCACAAGGTGGTGGTAAGGATAAATTAGATGATTCTTGTGGAGACTATAACACAGTGGCATACCAAGTCCTGAGCAAATGTTTCCCCCACCTCATCATCACCCCTAACCAAATAACTCAAGCAGTGTGGGTACTTTTAACAATGATGATTTATTGAAAGAAGTGACTCTTTTTCCTTCCCCACCACATGTAATCTCCATCCACAGGTCCCCATTTTCATCTGTCTTCCAGGGCAAGGAGTTCCAGTCACATCTTTGAAGATAGGAAGTGATGAGAAATTATTAGAGAAGGATGACCCTTAAGATAAATCTTCATCTGAAAAATGGACAAAAAAAATTATGCATGAGACCTGCTGTTTTTGTGACCTAGGGTCGCAGACTGCAATTGAGAGGTGACAGTTCCCAGTTCTGGGAATCAATAAGCACTTGAAAAGAGCGAGCAAGGCTAAAAGCATCCCAAGGATTGTGGGTGGATTGGACAAATAGTAACTTCTGAACACAAATGGCTTACTTCTGAAGTTTATGTTGATTCTGTTGTGTTAGTTATTACGTTAATTAATAAATACAACCTAATTTATAATCAAGACTGAATCATGGTAGCTTTCCATTATGCATTTTTTTTTCATTTGATGGCTACTAAAAATATCACATGAGGACCCTGAAATTTTTCTACAGGAAAGGGGTTCTCATGGGCTAATCTGGCAATGTGCCTCAGAGGTTTAAAATGAACATACTCTCAGTCAGCGTGGCCAAAGTGAACAAATCAGGAGACTATAGATGCTGGTGAGGATGTGGAGAAACAGGAACCCTCTTTCTGTTGGGTAGGTGCAAGTGGTGTTGCAGCCACTCTGGAGAAAACAGTGTGGAGGTTCCTCAAAAATTAAAAATAGACCTACCTATATTATAATAGCACTGTAGAATTTACCCAAAGGGATACAGAATTGCTTTGATGCATAGGTACTGCTAATGTTTATAGCAGCACTCTCAACAATGGCAAATTATGGAAAGAGCTAAATGTCCTTCAACTGATGAATGGATAAAGAAATTGTGGTTTATATACACAATGGGTACCCCAATGAAAAGAATGAAATATGGCCCTTTGTAGCTTATGGATGGAACTGGAGAGTGTTATACAAGTGAAATAAACCATACAGAGAAAAGCAGATATCATATAGTTTCCTCTTATGGATCCCAAGAAACTAACAGAAACCATAGAGGAGGGAAGGAAAAAAAAAAAAAAGGTTAGAGTGGAAGAGAGCCAAAGCACAAGAGACTCCCAAAAACTGAGGCTCAAACTGAGGGTTGATGGGGGGGTGGGAGGGAGGGGGGAGGGGTGGGTGATGGGTATTGAGGAGAGGGCACCTTTTGGGATGAGCACTGGGTGTTGTATGGAAACCAATTTGACAATAAACTTCATATATTGAAAAATAAATAAATAAAATGAACATACTCTTGGGCCATAAATTATAATTCTTAGAATTTATCCCAAGGAAGTTAATAAGGGCATGTATACCAATTTAGTATTCATTACAACTGTATTAATAAAATAAATAATAAACATATCAAGTGTGTATTAATGGGGGTTACTAAGTATATGAACATATATGATGAACTTTTTTATAAGGCTGTTAAAGGTATAACAGCCTTATGCCTATTGACGATGGTATAGAAACGTTGGTATTGTTAAAAGTTGTATTAGAAAATAGCTATTTTCTAAGTGAAATAATTAAGAAATAAAAATAGACACAAATTATCTCATTTCAATATATATATAATATATACATATATTAATATATATAACATGTACATATATATATAATATATATGTATGTATATTATGTATTTGCATGTGTGTGTTTAAAATATGCACCAAAGTATTAAGCAGATATCATTTGGGGATGGGGCATAATGTGACTGATTTTAATGTTCTTTTTGTTCAAATAAATAGTCTGATTTCTCTTCTGGATATATTGGGTAATGAAATTATTTTAAAGGTTTGGAAGCTACCATCCTGTGATGGATGCTTCTTTTTCTTGAGAAGGGTGTAAAGAGGGAGAGGCCACAGAATGATAGGCTTCTGTTCCACCCAGCTCTGGAAAGTCCCACCAGGGCCAGCCTCCTTAGGTTGGACAAGGTTTGAGGAAGCAGGGAAGGGCCTGATGTTTTCACCTGTCCTTAGGCTGGAACACAGACGTGGCCACACCCATTGCTGACACAGCGTTCATCTGGATCACAATCCCAGTCCCCACTGCATTCCTCAGTGCAGCTACCTATGTTAGAACAGACCACCTTGTTTTAAGCCCAGGTATCAGAGAGGACAGCCCTTGACTGAAGCGGCTAGTTCCACTTTCTTCTTTCAATTCAATAAATATGGAATTTTTAAATAATTACAGAATAATACTCTTTAACATCTTATATATTTCAGTTAAAGACAATAAATAAATAAATTCAATAAATTCAATTCAATAAATATGGAATTTTTAAATAATTACAGAATAATACTCTTGAACATCTTATATATTTCAGTTAAAGACAATACATTCACATAATCACAATAAAGTAAGGCCTACTTTAAATAAGAGAATCATTGTATTTGCAGAAGGGGAGTGCAAAGAAGCCCACTCAAATGTCCTCACTTCCCTACTTTGCAGGGAAAAGGGCAGAAAAGAGGAGACTCACATTAAGCAAATGCCATCCAGGGTGCCTTGCTGTCACCCTGCGCAGTGAATCTGATTAACCTCATTTAATAAGTGTGGTGACTGGTGTGCACAGAGGTGAATTGCCCACCTCTGTAGGTACAGAAATGGAATTGAACCCAGACCAGCCTGGTCCCTAGGCCAAGCTCCCTCTGCCGTCCCACATGGTGAAACAGACTCTGAGATGAAGTGCACATTGCCAAATGTCAAGGAGTCACTCCTGACCTGAGTGGAGGCCCCCTAGGTTCCCAGAGCCTCACAGTTAGTCTTTGAGAACCAATGAAATAGGTCCAAGAAGCCGGTTAAGACCCCACAGGAACTTCTAGCTATATGTATGCAGAGCTCTGGACGAATGTGTGCTGTGTTTTTGCTTCTACTCAGGGGTTTCTCTACCTGATTCTGTGTCTGGACTTCTCTGGGCTCTTGTTTCCTCATATGTAAAATGGAGCTCTTAGATCTAGCAGGGGAAATGAAGTTCATTCTCCAGTGTCAAGTCTGATCAACAGAGATGACTACTTAATGCTGCGTTGAGAAGGCTGGGGCATCTTGTCCAGGCTCAACAGGAAAAGAATCCTGTGATGACTAGCAATGTTTAAGAGTATAAGAAGGGAGCCTGGTGGGATGTCTATAATATACTTGCAGACCTCAGAGAAAGTCAGTAGGATCCCTCCCTGCTTCTGTTTGCTGTTGTTGATATATGGTGAGATGGTTGAAGACTTTGCCCCACTCCTTAAATCTGTTGATCTTTGCTATGTATGAAGCATAGAGCTAAGTTATTCAGAAAATATAAAGATTTAAGGGGTGCCTGGGTGGCTCAGTGGGTTGAGCATCCAACTCTGGCTCAGGTCATGATCTCGTGGTTTGTGAGTTTGGGCCCTGTGTTGGGCTCTGTGCTGACAGCTCAGAGCCTGGAACCTGTTTCAGATTCTGTGTCTCCCTCTCGCTCTGCTTCTCCCCACCTCATGCTCCCTCTCTTTCTCTCTCTCTCTCTCTGTCTCTCTCTCAAAAATAAATAAACATTAAAAAAAAACGTTAAAAGAAAAGATGTCAGGTAGAGTCACTATCTTAAAGCAGCTTAGAATCTAACAAGAGAGATAAGACTTGTGTTTAAAGTACTAACAACAAGGTGCCTGGGTGGCTCAGTCAGTTAAGTGTCCAAATTTGGTTCATGGGTTCGAGCCCCACATTGGGCTGTGCTATCAGCACAGAGCCTACTTTGGATCCCCTGTCCCTCTCTTTCTCTGCCCCTCCCCACTCTCTTTCTCTCAAAAATAAACAAACATTAAAATATTTTTAAAAAATGAAGTACTAAAAACAAAGCAGTATGTGACAGGTGTCCTGAGAGAGGTATATCCAAAGGAAAAGGGGCTCAGGGGAGGGAGGACATTATTTCCAGTTAGATTAGCCACAAAAGGTGAGTCTTGAAGTACAGGAATCTTTTTAAGACAGACTTGACGGGGCGGGGGCATGGGGGGGCGGTGGTGGTGGTAGAGTCTTGTGAGAAGAAAAAAGAATTACTAGCAAAAGTTCACAAGGGGAAATGCAGTCATGTGAGGCATCCAGGGCACAAAGTTTAAGGAGCCACTTGCACAACCTGAGAGTGAACGTCTCCTTCAATATTTACTCTAGGCGTCTCCTCTCCTCACTGCTCGGCCTGGAATGCAAGGAATACAGGAGGACTGGCAAATGTGAGGCTGGAGAAGTACACGGGAGCAGCTGGACGTCAAGCAGGACAAACAGGTAGGGGACAAAGTTACTGGGGTCAGATCTTGAGGACCTGATGAGTTTGGATTCCATTTGGTAGGCCAAGGGAGGGATATGACTGCAGTTTGCTTACAAAGATTATTCTGGTGTGAGGGCATAAAATGGACCAGGATTCAGTGAGCAAGCAAACCTCAGAAGGGAAAGGGGGCCAGGGGGTGCGGTCAGGAAACTTGGGCACTGGCCCAAGCATGGGGTAGTCAGGGCTGGAAGTGCTGTGTGGCAATGGGGAGGGGAAAGGAAGGAACACATGCAAGAAACAATTTCAAAGAATGGACGGTATTTGGCAACTGGTTTAATGGAGGGGGGAGGAGGACAGCAAAGAAGAGAGGGGAGTAAGTGAGAACCCAGGAATATTTAGGGAGAAGCAGGAGCTACAGTGAAGAGAATCCAAGAGAGAAGAAAGTTTGAGGATTGACAGGGCAGCAAACCATGTCAGATGCAGAGGTTACAGGCTTTCGCTGCCGAGGAGCGTCAAGAGATTTGCCAGCAGATCCTGGGAGCAAAGTTTCTGGAGACTGATGAGGACAGAAAGGGCGACAGTCAGTCTTCAGGGTGTGAAGGAATGAGTTGTGGGGAAGTTGGGGCAGAGAGTTAAGATGGCTCCTTTGAGAATGTTGGTGGTAAAGGGAAAAGCGGAGATCGAGATGATTTGTGTGTAATGTGACTAAGACAATGTGTTCTCTAGTGATCTGATTTATTTGTTGCAAAAGGCCAAGAAACCCATGGGGAGAGAGATGCTGGGGGAGATGGAAGAGATGATGGGGCAGCAAAAAGGGAAGAGTGGAGAGTCCAGATTAAGGGATGACCCGAGGAAAGGAGGGGGAAGAGTGGAAGCAGAGGGAGAGAGATTTATGCGGTCAAGATGGCTCCTTGACTAGAACATCTTTCCTTTTCTCCTTTCTTCCCTCCTCCCCCTGCACACACCGGACCCTGCTGGCCCACTTTCCAGCTCCCTCATTCAGAGAACAGGGCTGTCTTCCGCCTGGACTCACCCAACAATTTCATTGGCCTCACCGCAGCCTGGAGCTCCTGCACCTCCAAGCTGAGGGTGATGAGCATCACCAGGAGGAGGAAGCCCCCCACCTTCATGTTGCTGTAGAAAGTCTGGCAGCAAGGCAGCAAGGCAGAGAATGGCTGAAATTTATACTCTTCCACCCCCACCCCCGAATTAGAATGCAAGGGCAGGGGTGGGACTAGGGAGGTGAGAGCCTTAAGCCCTGCCCAGAAACTACTTCTGAAGAACTCACACCAGTAGGTATCCTGGGTAACTCCTCCTTGTTGCCTAGGCAAGTCTCTGACCCAAAGGAACACCCTCCTCTGGCCAACAAGAGTCTCCTGAAGCAGGTAAGCTATGAGTGACAGAGAAAGGGGTGGAGTGGGGTGGGGGGTGGGCCCTGGCCTTTATTATGTACTTTATCCACTCATTCCTTTTTTTTTTTAAACACAAAGAAACATCTCCTCTGGGCCAGACACATGCCAGGCATGGAATACATCCCTGTAGAAATCACAATCTAGGAACTGGGTGTTAGCAAAAGGGTGCAGCCCCTTCTTTGACATCTCCCCTGTCTGCTCTGGGCCTAGGGCCTTTGGTATTGAGGACAGGGAGAGTCAGAAGAACCAGCAGGGGTGCTCCTAGGTCACCTGCTGGTGGGAAGGAGGCCACCTTAGTCTCCTGGCTTGGTCTGATTTAGGCACTTGTGGTGGTCTTTGCCAACACGATATATGTCGTTCTCTTGGTATAAAGTTTCACTTCATCTTGTCCACCTTCTTTTCCGAGAACCCTAACTCTCAATATATGTGTTAGGCTCTTCCAGGATGTCTCTCATCAGACAGCACTGCGGTGGGATTGGGGGATGCCGGGTAGCTGCAGTAACCAACCAGGTGGGGAGTGAGAGTTCATTTCCCCCTTCTTGTAAGCACTCCTCAGCTAGATAAGTGATTTTCTGAAATCTGTACTCCCCTCGGCTTTTTGGAGGAATATGTCCTCCTTCCCTCCCCAGTGGCAGTAGGGGAAGGCAGAGGTGTGTGTTCATTCTGGCCATGAACATCGTGTCCCATAAGATGTCTTACTTAACATGGGATAAGGATGACTCAGCTGCTTGGGCATGGCAGGACCAGTTTGCAGATTCTTATGGCTTTAGCAGTATAGTTGACTTCTCTTTAGAGAGTAGTAGAGTCCTTGTCATTTCGCCAGGGGCCTGGGTTCTAATTCTAGGGCTACAGGAAGAGACCCTCCCTACCTTGCTTCATTTCTCACAGTTTCTGAAATGCCACCAGGAGAGGTCCTTTGGACAAACAACTGATCTCATAAATTGCTAGTACTCCTGGGTAGGTTAGGGGGTGCATGAATAACTATAGGTTATTCATGAAACAATTCTGCAAAACTGCCTCAACACAACCCTGCCTATCCCAAAGCTGAGGCTGGTTGGTGTCCAATTTCTGAAACAGAGTCAGAGCCAGAAAGAAACCTTAAAGAGGCCCTAAACACTGAACAAATGATAGAGATGTTCTCTATATGTAACCGCAAATTTTAAGAAAGTGCTCAACCATGAAATAAAAACATATTTTGAAATAATTTTGAAATTTCAACAAACCTCAAAGGTGTGTTGAAATTAAACTTGTTTCTTTTTAGATGTCCTCTTTTCTGATTTTATTTTGGGTGCCCTGTTTTGCTGGTGCCCCAAGAACCTGCTTTGTTTGTCCTTTGGGCTACTCCAAACTGAGTGGGGCCTTCAGAGCCTTGGCAGTGGGGCCCTAGCCTGCCTCCCTGCCTCCTGTCTTCCTCCTCACCCTCAGGCACTCTGGGATGCTCTGGCTGCTGCTCCTTGCCAGGTACTTCATGCTCAGTTCAAGCTGTTCCTTGAACTTGGAATACCATTTCCCTTTCTTTCTCTACCACATCTCACAAGGCTTAGCACAAATGTCACCGCCAAAACTTTCCTCAATCCCCACCCTTGGGAGAGGTAACGTTGTCTGTATACTTGTCTGGTCATAGCACTTAGCACACTGTGTTGCAATTATTATTATTTTTACATTTCTCTCCTGTGAATATCCTGATGGCTAGGGTGGGGGAGTGGTCTTCTTTATCTCTTGTCTTCTGTGCTTCAATGATAAGTATTTATTGTGCTGAATAACTATTAAGTGAACCCACAGTAGAGACGGTGATAAATGAATGGGAGTTTTGGCTAATGGTGAGGACAGAGAGAAGGGCAGGAGAGAGGGGACATGGGGTTGAGATTGGGTGTGAACAGGACCCATAGGGTGTCCTTTATTTGCCAAATTGGAAGCCCCATAAGGGAACTAATGACAGGAAGGACACGGCTTTGGAGCTGGATAAACTTCTGTTTGAATCCTTCCATGTGGTCACTTCCTGGGGATGTGAGTGGGCCAGTACTAACATTAGTATATTAAAAAATCGCATTCAGGTTTTAGGAAAATCCTTGTTGATCTCTGACTATGTACCACGCCCTGTGCTAAATGCTGGGGATGTGGCATGAACAAGGTCGGCTTGCCCTTACAAAGGAGGAAGTAAACATTCTATGGCACCCCTGCTGGTCTGAGACAAAGAAAATATTCTGTTCATACAAACAAACTTAAATGTCTGCCCATCACCCTAGGCCTACTGGGAGTTCCATTTGCATTTAAACTTGATTGTACTCCTAATCTGCCCCCCCCCCCAAATCGGCAACCTTCAAAGTGTTCCCAGTTGTAGATCTTGCTGTTTCTCAAACCATGTGTTGGAGAGAATGTGACCATTCTGGAACCCTAAATTTAAGTTCAATCCAGAAAGTATTAGATTTTCTCAATCTCAAATTTGGAATGCTGCAGGAGAGAATTTGATTGTCAAATGCTCCCTGCCCCCCACCCTATAATACAAAGCTGCTGAGGTGTGTGTGTGTGTGTGTGTGTGTGAGAGAGAGAGAGAGAGGGGTGGGGGTGGCATTCAGGGAGCCATTGTAATTAGGAAGACATCCCATATGGTTTCCAATACAGACAGGCATTATTATTGCCATTTTACAGACGAGAAAACAAAATCACAGAGAGGTTTAGTAACAAACCCAAAATAATATGGCAGAACTAGGATCAAACCTCAAAGGCTGCTCTTAACTGGTGCACATTCCTGTCAGGCTAGGTCCAAGTTCTTGACTTCTCTCTGAGACACAGGTAAATGGGCTTTTAAGGACACAGCAACAGGCATGGTGTTACCATTTCATCAGCAGAACACAATTGCTTTGTGCTAAGCTGCTTGCTATGGAGGACTCTGATGCCCAACCAGGTTAAAGGTAGGGCTCATCCACCTAAAACTGTAACTTTGGCTTTAAAAGAGCTGAGGAAGAACAATATGGCCCTTATTTCTGGCTGTTCACAAAGGCCGACGCGAGTATAGCCCAGTGCATGAGAGTGAGGACTCTGGGGTGCAACAGATCTGGTTTGTATCTGGCTCCACTACTTGGTAGCTGTGTAAACTTGGGGAAATTAATTTCCCTTTCTGAGCCTCACTTCCTCATCTGCAAAGCAGGCATTATAATTCTTACCTCAATGGCCTGTTGGGCAGATTAAATGAACATATATGTACACACATCTATTCCTGTCAGAGTCCTCAAAACTGGCAGCTACTATCATTATTAATTTCTATGAAAGGGAATGTATGCCTTTCTATTCCCTAGAATAGGGCACTTATACACAGTCCATGCAAAAATGTATCAGTTCATTAAGGAAATATCACAAAAGAAAGGGAAATCAGAATCTGCCCATATTCTACTCTGCTGTAAAATATAAGCTGAACCATGAAGAGACTTCTAGGGCTTACGTAGGTATTACTGTTGGCTCAACAACTGTATGTGGGTTCATGATGCCCTAAAGGAAACTTAGCATGTGACCAAGTTTTGCCTAAACAAACATTTGCCAGAGGAGGATCAACGAAGTCACAATCTTACATCATTTCTCTACAAGGTAGTAAAGAGGATAGCCATTGTCTACAAGGGGCTATCCCCATCCTAAGAGTCCCCCCTCCAAATGAGAGCCTTTGCTTACAAAGAGCCCATGGTCAGCAATGAAGAGTGAACACTCAGCTGCTCCAAATACCAACTCTGCTGCTCCCTATGCTCTGAAATTAGAGCGTGGGACCAAGGTTGAGGATAACATCTGGTCTCCAGGAGAATGTTAAGCATGTCCCTTCCCACATAGACCTCTCTGTGCTGTGCCAAATCTAGATCGTGCAACTGGCAAGAGTCTGAGTTCAGGAGCCGGATCACCTGGGTCAGATCCTGACTCCCACTCAGTAGCGGTGTGACCATGGACAAGTTACCAAACCCCTGTGAGGCTCGGTTTCCTCCCCTGTAAAATGAGCATGAGAATAGTACCTGCCCCCATGGTGTCGGGTGAGAATTTGGTGAGATAATTATGTCCATAATTCAGCACAATGTCTGGAAGACAGCAAGCACCCAATAAAGGTTGCTGTTTTCAGGATCAGTGATGGTATTATTTAAAAAGGAATTCTTGGGACGTCTGGGTGGTTCAGTCAGTCGAGCGTTCAACTTGGGCTCAGGTGATGATCTCATGGTTCGTGTGTTCCAGCCCCTCATCGGGCTCTGTGCTGACCGCTCAGAGCCTGGAGCCTGCTTGGGATTCTGTGTCTCCCTCTCTCTCTGCTCCTCCCCCACTCATAAGCTGTCTCTCTCTCTCTCTCTCTCTCTCTCTCTCTCAAAAATAAAAATAAACATTAAAAAAATTTTTTAAAGGAATTCTTGGAGCGCCTGGGTGGCTCAGTTGGTTAAGTGTCAGACTCTTGGTTTCAGCTCCAGTCATTGTCTCATGTTTTTGTAACTTTGAGCCCCACTTTGGACTCCATGCTGTCAGTACAGAGCCTGCATGGGATCTTCTGTTTCCCTCTCTCTCTGCCCCTCTCCTGCTCACTGCTGTCTCTGTCTCAAAATATATAAATAAACGTAAAAGAAAATAAAAAGGAATTATTGCTCACAACTAAGTGCACCCAAGTTTAAGCCTCAGAGTCATGACTGTGTGACGTTGGATAAGTCATGCTGTCTTT